ATTTGAAATACTCTCCTGTGAGCATACATGAATGACTAAATTCTAAGAATAACCCATGAAACTATTAGGTGCAAATTGTTTTTCCAAAGGAACCACAATTCCTTAAGAAACTAGGAGCTTTCCAGGAAAGAGAATGGAGGTCAATACTGGACCTCCAACCTGCTTTGCTTGATGAAACATCTGGCCAAAGTCTGGAAGTTGCTGCAGTGGGGTCAACTACCAGGCAGCCTTAGAACTCTGCTGAAGGAGACTCATCACCTTAAACCACAGATGCATCGTCCTCTGCAGTCAACACCTGGCAGGATTCTCCCTGGTGATGTTGATAGACAGACTCCCAGTTGGGTTTCTGACCACACATCAAACAAGAGGTGTTGAGATTAGAGGAATTTGTCCCCTAAGACACCAGAGGTGATGGGGGGATTGCTAGCCTGCCCATGACATTATGGGAGAATCTGGAATGAAATCTGACAGCAGAGGCCTGGACTTCACCAGAGTGGCCTCCAAATTATTGTTCTTGGTGAAGCTATTTGTGAGGGATGAAGTGACAGTGTATTCTTTGTCAAAAAGACCAAATGACGAGAGGCATCAGCTCTGATTTAGGGATCTGGAGGGATCAGGTCTGCTGAATCCTTAAAGTTAGATTTCTGCCAAGTAATATCATGGGTAAGGAGAAAATAGTTGTTTCTATATTGGCCACAGAAGCAGCTTCAGAACAAAACTCTAAGAGCTACTGACATTCAGTGCCCAGTAATTAGCCTTCATGTATTAAGTGGGGGCAAGGACTTCACAAGTGGGAGCACCCAGCCCTTAGCACCTAGCAGTTCTAGTGCATTTGCAGTAGATTTTGGTAAATCAAAGCATTGCCTGGATCACGGGAGTCAGAAAATGTGTGTGCTTGTGTCCATTAAGACAAGAAAAGGTATCATGTAGCAGACTGCAGGTGAAGGCAACTCCCACCCTAGGAGTTCAGAAATTTAAGGTCAGGATGTGAGGAGAGTGCTGGAGAGGGGACAAGTTCTATACTCAGAAAACTGTCAGTCAGCTTTCAATCACTGTGACAAAATACCTGAGTGATTCTACTTAAAAGAAGGAAAGGTTTGTTTCGTCTCATGGTTTCAGTTGGTCACATGGCCCTGTTGCTTTGGGCCTGTGTGGGATAATACATCATGGCAGAAGCACATCAGGAGGAAGGTCTATTTACCTCATGGCAGCTGGGAAGCCAAGAGAGATGTGGGGTGGGGGAAGGGACTGGAGTCTCAATATCTTCTTCAAGGCATGACCTCAGTGACCTTCCTTCCTTCCATTAGTGTTATGGTTTGGATGTGAGGTGTCCCCCAAAATCTCATGTGTGAGACAGTACAAGAAGGTTCAGAGGAGAAATGAGACAATTATATATATATCCAAATGTGGCTTTGGGCATATATTTGTATCTGGCAAGTGGACCCTCTCTGCTTCCTGATCACCATGTGAGCTGCTTCCCTCTGCCACAATTTTCTGCCATGATGTTCAGCCTCACGAGGAGGAATGGTGCTGGATTTCTAAGAACTGAGACCTCTGAAACCGAGAGCCCTTGAATAAACTTTTCCTCCTCTACAGTTGTTCTGGTTGGGTTTTTAAGACAGCAGTGAATTAACTGACTGAAACATTTAGATTTTATTCTCCAAGGGTTCCACCACCTCCCCAAAGCACCACAGGCTGGGACCAATCCTTCAACACAGGGCCCTTGGGGGACATTCAAGATCCAAACTATAACAAATACTTTAGTGGATATATTATTCTGCTCCACTTGTAAGGGGGAAGAGCGCTGAAATCAGAGAATGGTCCCTGATTCTGAAGAGGGAGAACCCGTGGCATAAGATGAGGTCTAAATCCAAATCCTTCCAGTTCTCATTAAACACTAGTTGTACTTTTCTGAACCGGAATCCCCAGTACTTTCTAATCATGAGGGGGATCCCTGCCTGGATAGGTTGCATGGAGAGCCAGATTTAATCAGCTGTGTGTACCCCCAAGGAGAGGGTGAGAGATGCAAAAGACTGTAAAGTTACAAAACCACTATATGTGCCCCAGGGAAGAGTTCAGTCCCCAGCATTGGGAAAAGGAGGATGTGTGACATCACCTAGGACAGGCGGTCCCAGTGTCTTCCCCTTTCCCACCCCTGGGGAGAGAATTTGAGAGAATATGATAGAAGGTACAAATATGTCTCTGAGATGATACAATGAGATGGAGAATGTATTTTTTTTCACCTAAAAATTCCAAGGAAGCTGAGGAAGGCCGAGAAACACGAGAAAAATAGAGGATAAGCCATTGCTCCACGGAGAGGTGTTCTGTCCCTTGAGGGGACTGTGCAGGGTGGGTAGGGCCACTGGGAAGGAGAAGTTGGTTTTGAAGGGAGACAGTGACAGGGGATGGCAATGGGAAGATGGAGCGCTGGCTGGGTGGTGCTTGCCCAGCATGCATGAGGCCCGGGGTGATTCCCAGCAGAAAGGGAGAAGGGAAGGGAGGGGAAGGGAAGGGAGGACTCTGCAAAGCTACACAATCATTGGAGAGGACTCCTCCTTGGACAACCTCCAGATGTTGGATGAAGCGTTTTGGTTTTTGGTCATTTTGTCGGGTATTGAATCGGGCTGTGCACACGCATGTGCTCCACCACTGGGCTCACTCCCCACCCATGGTGAAGCTATTAAGTGGATCATTTTGATGGACCTGAGATGCTGGGTGGAATTAAGGAATGGAGAAAGTGGGAAGTGGGTCATGAGGGATAGGGCTCAGAAATTACCAAAGACCAAGGATGGCTTTTGATCATCAGAGACTATCATAGGACGTTTCAGATCAAGCTTAATGAAGTTGACCTGGGTGACATCAAGATGAACATTCCAAGACGCTGAATCCGATGATCTCCCTAGCCTTGGGGGGTTCAGTGACAGCAGCACCGTTAATCAGTGGTGCATGGGGGATTTCTATGTTGCATAGAAGTTCAAAAGGTCCCTCCCTATTCAGGCTCCATGCCTTTGTAACACCATGAGCGAGCCAAGACTTCAGAGGGATCCAGCTGACATGACTCCTCTCTCTCACTGCTGCTCCTCCCCAAAATCCCCAGACAGAGCCCTTCAGTATGAGCTGTGTCCGGGAAGCAAATCCCCAACTTCCCAGAACATCCTACACCACGGCTTCTCTGTCTCCTCCCCAGCCCGCATGACTCTGGTCCACCAACATCTCCCTTGGCCTTTCCTATCTCCAGCTCAGAACCCTCCCTGGAGCCAGATCTTGTCATGGGTCATTCTTGGTGGGGAGACAGGGAGGGAGTGCATGGGAAAGAAAGGAAGAGTCTTTTCCCTGGACAAAGCCCGATTTGTGAAAGTGGACAAGTTAACTTCTAAAAATATGCTCAAGTTCACTAATCACCAGGGAAATAAAAAGTGAACCCCAGGATACCATTTAAAAAATACATCCAATTGTCAACCAGGTTGGTCATCGTGTTGACAAGGCTGTGAAAAAAATGGGAATACTCCTAGACTCTGGGGGGAGAATGTCAATATGCACAGCCATTTTGGTGTGCAATTCGACAGCATATCAATGTCACAAATGACCAAGGCACTTTGATCTGGAAATTCTACCTCCAGGGGTATAACTGAACAGAAGGAAGCCTGTCTGCACCTTTGAGGAGACATGATCTCTGTGGATCCCTTCCCTTCCTCACTCTGTGTTTGGTTGTAGTGATGTGCCCCACCCACTAAAGCTCACATCACTGAATGGGGCTTAGGGAAAATTCCCTCCCTCGCCCACTCTTTCCTTTTTCTAGTGTTTGGAACTTGTACATGATGACTAGAGTTCCAGTTGTGATTGTGTGACCTGGAGAAGGAGCACTATATGCCAAGGAAGATGAAAATGTGAGGAGCCTGAGACCCTCATGCCCCAGAGAGTCCCCCTTCCCACCTGACCTGCTTCCCTACATGTGGTTTTGGACACAAGAGAAAAGAAGCCAGTAATTGTTCAGTCACTGTGATTAGGTCTTTCTCACTAGTAGATAAAGGTATTTGTTTTCTTTTCCTATTTTTTGGTGGGACTCTATTTTAGACTGGCAAATTATAATTATAAAAAATAGTGGGATTTCTTGTTAATATTCATACATGCACATAATAGAATATAGTTCCCCTCAACATCCCCCACCTTCTTTCCTCTTCTCCCCACTTCCCTCTACTCTATTGGTCTTTCAACTTTTTCTTTTTTGGGGGGAGTGGGTAACCGGAGATTGCACTCAGGGGCACCTGACCACTGAGCCACATCCTCAGTTCTATTTTCTATTTTATTACAGACAAGGTCTCACTGCATTGCTTATCACCTCCCTAAATTGCTGAGGCTGGCTTTGAACTCGAGATCCTCCTGCCTCAGCCTCCCCAGCTGTGGGATTGCAGGTGTGAGCCACCGTGTCCAGCAGTCCTTTAATTTTCAGGAGATGCTCCCTCCTCTGCGTCTCCGTTTTTTCTCTCAGCTTCCATATATGAGATCCCTGACTTTCTGAGTTAGCCAGGTTTATTTCTAGCTGATACAGATGTTTATTGTGACATTGCTTTACATAGAGGAATGACATGAACAGTCTAAGTGTCCCTGGCTTCTGGAAGTTCCTTGAGGTTTTCAAGACCCTTCGAGTCTCAGTACAAGAAAATCCTTACATTGGGCCTCTGCTCCTTAAAGACACCTGGCCTGGTCACTCTTGAGCACATTCCTCTCAAGTTGCTGGAGACCCACATTTGTAAAGTGACTATTTCCAATTTCCCAAAAAGAAGACCCACAGGAACTAAGAATCAAGCATCTAAAACCTTACATTTTTTATTAACAAAACTCAGGAAGTGGCAGACAGATGATGCAACACAAAGATAAATTTGCTCACTTACCATCTAACAGGAGAAAACAACGTTTTTTTTTTCCAGGCAGTGGGAGGGGGGGGGGAGAGGCTGGGAGGTCACAAACAGGGCGGGACAGGGGAGGGGCCACATCTCACCTGGGTCCCTAGGAGGCCAGGGAAGGCTGTGAAGGCAATGATGGACCCTCTGGCAAGCCTCTGCTGGCTCCACACCCAGATCCTGATGCTTCAGTTCCTTCCTTTTCCTGGTGAGTAGTGGCATAGGGGTGTGTGTGGGGGTGGGGTGTGTGTGTGTGGGGGGGGTGTGTGAGTATGGGTGGATGTGGGTGTAAGGCAGGTGGGAAGGAGCTAGGGCTTCCCTGGACTCAACCTCCAGATTCCCCATGCGTTTCTGAAGGCTGAAGTGAGGAAAAGGGACTTGGGGACTCTCTGGGAGAGCGCCAGTTGCCCCCTCAGGCAAATCACTGTCACAGGCTGAGTGGCTCCTTGCCTGCTGAGGCAAAGGACCCAGGCTTGAAACACAATGATGTTTTTCTGACACCAGGAATAATTCATATTGACTGTAGGAAATTTGAAAAATATGACAAATGATATAGAGATGAATAAAAAAAACCATGTTTCATACTTCACAAAACTAAATACCCTAGATACTCTGTGTACTCCTCCGGGTGAGTTTTCTGTGCTTCAGTATATTTTTCTGACTTCAGAAGACAATTATTTGCCAGGCTGTGCTCAGTGGCAGCTGCTCTCCTGAGAGCAATGTCCTGAGCATTTGGTTTCTTGCTGCTTTAGCAAAAAAGAATGGGAAAAATTACAATTTACAATGCAAATTTACAATCATTTTCTTCCATGTATGACCTACCCAGTCCTCCAAGCCCACTTCCTTCCTCTACTCCTAGACTGAGAGGTAGGATTGCCTCCCATGAACCAGCCTGACTCAGTGTCTCCTACTCTGCTCTGGCTGCAAAACCTTGTTAGAGTTGAAAGAGGGGCTGGATTCTGCAATCAGACCCACTGGGTCCCTACTCTGGTTCTGCTACCTAGTGTTCATAAAATCGTGGACATATACCCCGGGACAAACAGGTGTGCCTTCTGAGATTGTTACCTCAGCAATAAAATGGCCCTCCTAAGTCACCACTGGAGGAGAGGAGGGGAGCCACTTCCCCTACCTGAGCCTGGGAGTAGGTAGGGAAGCAAGATAATCCCTAACCCAAGGTGCTGTCTGAGACATTAAATGATGGTGCACATTCTGATCACTGTGTAACATAGCAACTTAAGTGTGTGGTGTTATGTACTTCTCTATCTTGGTGAAAACTTGCAAATGGATAAAAAAAACAACTTTGATTTATAATTGGTGATTTTATCATGATCCAGCAGTTTAAAAAGAGACAAGATTTTCCTCTGGGCACTAAGGGGTTGTGATAGCACAGAGATTGTTGCTTTCCTGGACTTTTCATTGTACAGCAATGGAGCATAAGGTGTTCTTATGCATTATAGACAGTTTTTAAGTGACTGAAGGCTTCTAAATAGTCTGTTGGATGTGTCAGAAACGTTTGAACATTTAACATGTTTATACCTTTGTTTTAATGGCATTTCCACCTCTGGGGTTTAACCCCAAAGGGGGAAAACAATGTCATGCACTCAAAGCTTCTGCATGAAGACATTCATTGTGGTCTAGTTAGAGTAATGAAAAGCCAGAACCCAATAAGAGGGTGATAATATCTTGTCAAGTGACATTAAGGTGGTGAACCGATGGCTTTAGTAAGTGACTTTGGTTGGGCCACTGAGTTTTCCTGAGATGAGAAGATGGAAAGGACTTGGTTAGAAGGAAGGACAGGAACAAGCATGTGTTGAGCCCTGTCATATGCAAGATCTGGACTGGGGTGTTACAGACCTGATCTCATTCCAGCCTCACACACCATGTGTTACCTGTGACGTTTGGTTAAGGATAATGAAGCAGGAAGGGACAAGCACCAGGCACAGGAGTATTGGCTGGGAATCTGGCTTTATACTTAAGTCTTCTTAACCCACAAAGCCCAAGTTTTCAATTCTGCCAATGTTTCAACTATATCAACACAGGAGCATTGAAGTAGCTTAGAAATCATAACCTAGAGCTTATATATGGGCTCAGTAGATCCATCACCCCCATTTAGCATTTGAAGGAATGTGGGCTCTGAGAGGCTGATCAACCTGGAGGAGATCAATTGTAGATCTAATAGGTTTCACACTAGGATTCCAGCTGCCCCCAGACCATGTGCTGCCTCTGTGTGATCTGGCTGTGAAGCCAGGTCTTTCTAAATTCCATGCCCTTGCACTTCACCCCTGATCTTCCTCCCACCTTTCCCACCCACAGGACTCCAGCTCTATTAATTCAAGGGCTGTGGGGCGGGGTGGGGGGCAGAATCCCAAATGGCCCTCTGCTATTGGAAAGAACTTCTGTCCTCATAACTCTGCTCTCCCTTCATCTGCAGCCCCGAGGGAAGCAATTCCATTTATATCTCAATAGGAAACAGCTCCCTAGAACCTTCCTTCCCCTGCGTGCCCTACCTTTCCTTTTTCTACTCGACCAATGCTGTCATTTTCCTGTTTGGGTCATGGGATCTTTGGGGTCAGTGGTTAGTTTGGGAAATCCTCCTCTCTTCTTTTTTTGAAATTTATTTTATTGTTATTTTCCCATATTTTTTATTGGTGCATTATAGTTCGACATATCGATGGGATTCATTGTTACTTATTCCTGTAGGCACAAAATGGATAAGGATCTAATTGGGCTAATATCACTCCCCCCACATCTTCCCCTCCCTCCCTGCCCCCGCCCCTTTGTCTCTTTCCTCTACTGATTTCCCTTTGTGTTTTAGGGGACCCATCCCCCACCTTTGTTTTCCTTTTTCCTCTCTACCTTCCACCTATGAGAGAAAACATACAGCCCTTAACCTTCCTCCTTTGACTTATTTCATTCAATACAATGGTCTCTAGTTTCATTCATTTTCCTGCACATGCTGTAATTTCATCTTTCTTTAGGGCCGTATAAAACTCCACTGTGTATATAGACCACACTTTCTTTATCTATTTGTCCATCCATGGACACTTAGTGCGGTTCCAGCCACTCTTCATGAGATGCTGGTTAACTTAGGCTGGCTTTGTGGTTCTGCCATAATGATCATCACCTTGCTAAGAAAATGGCATGGGTGGCCAAGCCCTGAACACAGGAAGCCACTCAACCTCCAGCTGCCTTCTTGGGTTTGTGTTATGGGCTGCCCAGCAACCACTGAGGGCGGAAGTCCCTCAGAGGAGATGCAGCTGCTTCTGCCTTGCCTGCACATGTGTGCTTGGTCTCAACTAAGCAGATGGAGGCCGGTCATATCTAAGCTGCCTGGAGCCCTCTGTGATTGGGGGAGTGCAGCGACGTGACTCCAGTGTCTCTAGCCACAATGTACTTTCCTTCCTTTAAATATTTGCAAAACACACTGTTTCCCAGAAACACAACATTCAGGCCTTTTGAGCCATGATAAACTCATTTCTGTTTAAACTGAAATGACAGAATGAATCATCCTTTGTCCTTTATTAAAAAAAGAAAAAAAAAAGAAATTAAACTTGCATTTTTATTTAATTTATCTGTATTTGGAGTAAAAATGGGAGTTCATAACCCACTTGAATCTAATGTATGAAATATGATATGTCAAGAGCTTTGTAATGTTTTGAACAACCAATAAAAAATACATATATATATATACATACATATATATATATGTGTGTGTGTATATATATATATATATATGTGTATATATATATATATATATATATATATATATATATATATACAAAAAAAATTAAACTTTTAAAGAATCCAGCATGACAGACTTGGTCTGCAGATGTAGCTTGGTGATGAAGTGCTTGCTTAGCATGTTCCAGGACTCAAAAAATAAATAAATAAATAAATAAATAAATAAATAAGAAGAAAAGGAAAGGAAGGAGAACTTTTGCTTAGGGAATGTCCATATAAGGAGACAAAAACCAAGCTGCAGAGTGGGAGAAAATCTGTGCACACTTTGTATCCATGAAACCACTGAAATGTCATCTATCTACAAAGCTCCACAGACTCAGCTGCTACAATGGGGGAAGCACATCTCCAGGAGGTTATGCAGATGGGAAAGAAGCATAGGCCAACATTTTCAATATGATTAGCCACCAGAGAGCACAGTTTAAAACTACAACAAGACGTCGACACCACCACACACTCAACAGAAGGACTGAAATAAAAAAATGTCAGCGCCAACTGATGGAGAGGATGTAGACAATCAGATCACTCAGTTGCTGATGGCAACGTGACACATTGTGGCTTCTCTGGAAAACAGTGTCACTGTTTCTTACAAAGCTAAGCCTGGAATTGCCTCTTTAGTTATATTTCACTTAGAAATATAAAAACAGGTCAAAAATATAAGGCATACAGTTTTGTATCATAATATTTATAATAATAATAATAGTAATAGTAGTAGTAGTAGTAGTAGTTATTATTTTGGTGCTGAGGATCCAATCCAGAGCCTGTGCAAGGTAAGCACACACTTTACCACTAAGCTTTAGTGCCAGCCCTAATCTTGGTTTTGTGAAATTTTGCAAGGAAAAAACTTTATGGACTTGTATTTGCATGTCCCTCAGTGCAGGGCACAGGATCTCTTTGTACACCACAGATAGAATAAGAGAAGAGCTGTATTGTTGGATTTGATTCTTTTTCTCTATGTTTTATCAATTTTAGATGTGTAGTTGGAAGAAAACTGGGAACCAGAAACTCTGGATCTTTTTTTTTTTTTTTTTTAACTCTGGATCTTAACAGAGACTGCAGCACAAATCTCTCTCAAGTGATTTCTCTCAATTATGTTGTAGCAGGGAACTTTCTCTTTCTGTACATAGTGAAAAAACTTTTCTGTAGCCTGGTGCGAAATACCTTAATAAATTTCTTTAAGTAGGAAAGAGAGAAAAAGGGAGAGAGGGAGATCAGGTGGCTCTCAGAATATTCCAGGCCATTACAGATACGTGGACTCAACTTCCCTGGTATGTGAAGCTCTTTATGTTTTACCTAATACAGTTGGTTTCTTGAAATTCCCTTGTTTCTGCTGAACTCAAACCACATACTTTCTCTTGATTTAGATCTCTGTTCAAAGACTAGAGAATAAAATTTGATCAATTTTGTGTATATATGAACATGACACAATGAACCCACTCTGCACCAATAAAAAACCCTCCCTTGAAAACC